GGCATCATTGATGCCATCAAGTGTGGCAGCAGTAGTGAGGTTGGCCCAGGATCGGACATTGTTTCGTTCTGCTGTGCATGGGGTCACTATGAGTCAGTTCCAACACGATGGCACCTGACAACAACAACAACAACAACATACACACACAAAAAGTGGTGCCTCCGTTTAACCCACCATGATTCCCTGGGAGAGGTTATGGACTATGTAGACATGCTGCTGCTGATGCAGAGTACTTACAACATGAAATCTTGTTCCCAGCAAGGCTGGTCACCTCGAACTGCTACAGTTGTGCTCTTCACATTCTGTACTTTCAGAGTCACGTATGTATTAAACTTATCTTTAAAAAAAAGGCAGAAAAAAAGATGTAATATTCAGTACTTAGATTGCTACCCAAACCCTACAACACCCTTGGAATTAAGTAATATCCAAAAGAAAGTTTTACAGGTAGAAAAAACATGGAATTATACATTGCACAATACGGTATAATTCTAGGTACAGTTATTGTTGTTAAATACTGTGGAGTTGGTTCTGACTCATAGTGACCCTGTATAGGGTTTCCAAGGAGTGGCTGATAAGTTTGAACAGCAGACCTTGCAATTCAAACTAACCTTGAGGTCCAGGGCATTATCCTAGGCAAAGGAGAGTCACAAAAAATATATACAAAATATGCACTATCCTCAAAGACATAATCTGACACATTGTTTTTCAAATCATTTTAAGAAATATATTTTCTGTTTAACTCAGTACACACACATGTGCACTTATGTCCACTAAAACAAACGTTTATAATTTATTTCATCTATTAAAATGCTCTTAGTCTGGGAGACACAAGTGTTTTGAAAGTGGCTGCTAATGTAAACGTTTGAATTTGAACCCACCCAGCAACAGCAGCTCTGCAGAGGAAAGGTCTGGCAAACTGCTTCTGTAAAAATTATACCCAAGAACACCCTGTGGAGCAGTTCTATTCTGTTAACACATGGGATTGCTACGAGTCAGGGGCCAATTCAACAGCAGCTAACAACAAAATCATTAGAATGGTAACTATAACCCAATACACTGATATTATAAGTAGACCTGATGGTGCTATGGATTAAACACTGGTCTGCTAAATGCAAGGCCAGTGGTTCAAACACACAAGCCTCTCTATGGGAGAAAGATGAGACTGTCTACTCTGACAAAGATTTACAGACTGTGAGTCAGAATCCACTCAATGGTGTGGTTTAAACTGATTTTTACAGCTCACAGCAGTTTGGAAAAAACTAATCTGATTGATCTAGCAGATCAACCAGATATATATGTTGTGTTGTTGTTGTGAAGTGCCTTCGCATCGGTTCCAACCCATAGCAACCCTGTATAGGGTTTCCGAGGAGCAGTTGGTGAGCTTGAACCACCAACCTTGTAGTTGAAACGGCTTTGCAGTCTGGTGCATTAACCCACAGCACCACACCCCAGATACATATATACACACATTGAAAAAAAAAAAGATTTCCATGATGTATTTGAGGAAGAAAGGGTGGAAGGATAGGAACAGGTTGCATAAAAATATGTACAGCCCAAAATAATCTATAGATAAAATGCAATCCAATCCAAATTCCAAAAACATCTTTTAACAAAATGAAAAAATGAATCTCCAACTTTATATTAAAAAGAAAGAGGCCCTCAACAGTTAAAGCATTGTTGAAGAATAACAACAAATTAGGAGATCTTACACTTCCTAAACTCAGAACACACTACACAGCTATGGTAGTCAAAACAGCCTAGTAATGGTACAATAAAAGGCATAGGCCAATAGAAAAGAACTGAGAATCCAGAAATCCAGCTGATCTTTGACAAAAGGTTGAATTCCATCAAATAGGAAAGAGACAGTCTGTTTGACAAATGGTGCTAGCAATATTGAATATCCATTTGCAGAAAAATGAAACAGAACCCATACTTCACACCATAACAAAATTAACTCAAAATGCATCAATGTCCTAAGTCTTAAACCTAAAACTGTAAAGTTCATTGAAGAAAAAGCAGAGATAAACTATAAATTAGGGATCCTAATTTATGGCATAAATAGAACAGCAACCAAACCAAAAAATGTACAAACAGAAGATAAACTAGATACCTTGGACCCCCTAAAAATTAAATACTTAAACTCATAAAAACACTTTGCCAAAAGGGAAAAAGAGAACCTACACACTGGGGGAAAAGTTTTGGCAATGATGTATTTGACAAGGCCCTACTCTCTAAAATTTAGGGAAAACTCCAAAAGCTCAACAACAAAAGGACAAACAATACATTTTTTAATAATGAACAGACTCCCAAAGAAGACATTCAGGTGGCTAACAAACACATGAAAAGATGCTTGTGACCATTAGCCATTGGAGAGATGCAAATCAAAATAATAATGAGATACCATCTCACCTGGGCAATAATGGCACTGATTAAAACAAAAAACAAAAAACTCTCAGACGAGGTTGTGGAGAAATTGGAACACTTATATGATGTAGCCAGGACTATAAGATGGTACAGCCACTAACTATAAAAGATGTTATAGCACTTTCTTAAAAAACTAAAAATAGAAATAGCATACCATCTCGGAATCCTACTCCTAGGTCCACAGCTTATAGAAATAAGAGCTCTGACATGACTAGACATATGCACAACCATGTTCACTGCAGCATATTCACAACAGCAAAACGATGGAAACCATTTAAGCGTCCATCAGTAGATGAATGGATAAGCAAACTGCAGTACATATAGACAATGGAACACTACATAGTGGTAAAGGACAATGATAAATCTGTGAAACATCTCACAACATGGATAAATCTAGAAGACATTACACTGAATGTAATATGTCAATAAAAGGGCAAAATATTGTATAAGACCACTATTATTTAAAATTCAAGAACAGGCTTCCAAACAAAGGTTCAAAAGATTGGCAAAGGAGAAACCGAGACAAGGAACACATGGAAGAAGTGCAATAAGTGATTTTAAGTTGAGGGAATTACGATCACTAGGATGAAACAAAGTGTATGATTAGTAGAATACAAAACTGATGACCTGCTCTGTAAATCTTCATTCAATAAGCAATAAAAAGTTAAAAAACAGAGTAGTACACAGAAAGAAATATTTTTTGGTGATTAGCAGGGATGGAAGTTAGAGAATCACTAACTAGGAGAGCAAACATATGTTAATTCTGTGGGAAGGCACTACAAAGTATAGGGAAAAGTCAGCATAATGTGATCAAGGCAAAGGAAGACACTGAGCGGCACAAGAATAAAGGACCACAAGAGTAAATATTATAACATACAATCTAGCAACAGCAGCCATAACAAACAGTAATTTGCGAGAGGATACACAGATATGCCTGCTAAATAGGTGTGAGACATCACATGGGACTACAACAGCATGCATATGTAGGTATGATTGTGGAGTTTTCTACATACATATTAGCACGAGCACTGGTACTGTGTTGTAGGATAAGCACTGGACTAGTAACCACAAGGTTAGCAGCTCAAATCTACCAGTCACTATCAAAAAGCCGATATAGTGTCACTATGAGTCGTAACTACTCAAGGGCACACACCAAAAACAACATATAAGTATGTGCTGCACGTATATTTATATATACAACAGACCACTTAGGGGATACAGTTATGGAAACTTCTTAGACTTAACCAAACACCTCATGGAGCTGAGCTGAGCTGAGCTTGAAGGTAAAGCTGATACACTGTAGAGATTGCAACCAATGTCACAGAACAATTTGTGTATAAAAGGAAAAATAATTTGTTATGTAAGCTTTCACTTAAGATACAATAAAATGTTCTAAAAAGTTTTTAAAAGGCATGTACATGCATATCCACAGGAAAAGATCTGAAAAATATATTAAAAACCTAAATAGTTACTTATGAGAAGTGGAACTGAGTTTGTCAAGAGTTCAGAAAGTTTTAAACTTTTCTACTATATAAATGGCTACAATTCTTAATGTTTTACAACAGCAATGATTTTCTCTATAATAAAAAATTTAATTAATCAGATGAGCTAATTTAATTAATAAATTCAATGAAATTAATAATTTTTAAAAGATTGCTTTTAAATCACAGCAAGTTGAGAGGAAAGACATAAAAACAAAAGAATTGGTCTTACCTGGTGAACCCTGGAATTTGGCTCTTTTAACTGCAAGAGGGGAAAAAAAGGACACCATGAAGAGTGTTTGCACATTTATGACTTAACCAACATTTCTTTAAGTACCTACTATGTGCCAAAGTTAGATTTGGGATGTTATTTTTAAGTTTAAGTCTTCATCAGGGAAAAGAAGCTAACATTCTTGATCGATGAACAAAAAGCAGAAAATTGACTTTAAAGATCTCCAAATATAACTTCATACACAACACAGAAATCTCTCTTTCAGTCTCCTAAAAAAGAAGTTGTTGTTGTTAAGTGCCATCTAGTCAGTTTCGACCCACAGCAACCCTGTTGTGTTGAACCGCAAATCTTGCAGTTCAAACAGCTTCGCAGTCTGGGGCATTAACCCACAGTGCCACACCAGGAAAAGGAGGTGGGAAGCACTAAATTACTTCTGTAGCAGTTTCATGTTTAATATCTTTCTAAGGTTCAAGTTACAAGTATTTCTTACGGAAAACCCATGGTAGAACCTCCCTCCATTCTGTTGAAGCCAAAAGAACATAACAGCCCAGATCCAGACAAAGGTTTTAAAACAAGAATGAGAATCAACTTCTTCCTGGAACTAAGCAGATATCAAAAGGAGCTTCTGTGCAAATGATCACAGAAACTCTGTTTCCAAAGGGTCAGTGGAGACCTGTGTAAGTAAGCATCTGACAAAGGGACTGCAACATGCTAGCTCCTAGGAAAGGGCTCAAAGACCACACAAACAGGAAAATTTAAATTCCAAAAAGTTATTGCAGTGAAGATTAGGGCTAAGGTCCACAAGGAGAAAAAGGGGTAAAAGGAAACCCCAAGACACAAAATCTAAAAAGGATACTTAGGGGTACATATCTGCATTCTCCATAGCCTGCACAACTGAAGTTTCACTTTAGCAAACATCTAAATCTTGCTTAACATTTTCAAGAGATGGATTATTCAGAACCTTTCACTGGACTCTCTCCATTTTTAGGCAGCACTTACTGCTCAATGTACTTCTTATTGAATCAAAGTATATCTCCCACTGGCCTGCCTCTAATAGTTATCATGTCAGTTTAAATCCTTTTCTCAATTACTCTTACACTTAAATGTGCAGAATATTGACAAAATCAATTCAACATGGATTAAAGACCTAAATGTAAATCCCAAAATCATGAAGATCATCAATGAAAAAATAGAGACAACTTAAAGGCTCCAATACAGGGCATACATAGACTTCAATCTTTTCTCCAATGATAAGAATGTTGTCTATTGGTCCAGTGGTGAGGATTTCTGTTTTCTTTATATTGCTGGTGGGACTCTAAAATGGTTCAACTACTCTGGAAAACAGTATAGTGCTTCCTCAGAAAGTTAGAAATGGAAATACCTTATGATCCAGCAATTCCTCTACTTGGTAGATATCTACAAGAAATAAGAGCCAGAACACAAGTAGATGGACACCAATGTTCATTACAGTACTATTCATAACAGCAAAAAGATGAAGACAGCCTAAGTACCCATCAATGGAAGAATGGGTAAACAAAACTCTGGTACATATGCACAATGGAATAGAATACCATGCTACCTTGAAGAATAACAAAGCTGTTAAACACCTCATAACATGGATGAACCTTGAGGACATAATGTTGAGTGAAATGACAGGTATAAAAGGACAAACATTGCATAAGACCATTATTGTAAAAGCTTAAGTAAAAGAGATGATGATGTGGAGAGATGGATCAGATGGGGACTTTAGACCCAGAGAGGGAGAGGGACTGTGTGCTGATGACTGGGGTGCAGGCTTCCAGGGTAAACCCTGTGGTTGTTTGATGATGCAAGGAGGGGATTGTAACCATGGCAATGAAATGATATAAGATAGGATGAATGTAAAACTAATGTTCTCCCGTGTAAACTATCACATAATTCACAATAAAACATTTAAAAAAAAAGTTTAAGAAAAGATTTCCATATTAAAAGAATAATTATTTGATGGCTACCAGGAGTGGAAGGGAGGGGAGAGTTTAACTCACAGGTTTGGGGACAGATGCATGATAGGGAGAGGGTAATACATGTTGCAGACCGTGCAGACCCAGTCAGGAGTTCGAGGCCCTGTAGGCTCAAGTATTGCAGACTGTACAGGCCGCTGGCTCTGAGGAACAAACTCTAGCCACTTAGCAGACATAGCAAACTGTCTTTTATCTTATTGTTCAGTTATGTTTAATATTAATTTCATA